ACGATGAGAAGAGTAGAGAAGGGAAGGAAGCATCGCGGAAACATCTCGTTTGTATGCGGACCCGCAGCGGATCCAAAACTTTGTGAAATTGGCTCCCGATTCAGTTCAGTGGAGGAAGGAAGCGGATGTGCAGGAAGCAAGAGGCACACAGCCACACACTTTCCTTCCTTCTGTATACAAAAAAAAAACACCTCCACCCTCCTCAACCCAGAAACTCCTTTAATCTTCTTTCTTATTCACTTTCTCTCTTTCCACCCCGAGATACTCTGGTTGCGGCGAAAATAAGGAAGAGAACAGAGACTAAAGTCGCTATCTATCTATCTCGCCTCCTATATTACCCGGAACAAGCCATGCTTCACTTTGTTAATATCTCACTTTGTTCTACTTTATTCCCCTTTATCTTAATCTCTCCTTTTCTCTCTCTCAAACACACACATTTAAAACACACACACACACACGATCTTTTGCCTGAAATCCTCATAATTCACGCGCATTATCAAATTATTTATCTTGTCTTTTGTCTCTCCGTTCACGTTTCCTTTTTCACTTGTTTTCGCAGGTCTCTACCCTCCGCTTCCGGTCGCCACCCCCTGCATCAAGGCCATCAGTCCGAGCGAAGGATGGACTTCCGGCGGAAGTACCGTCATCATAGTAGGCGACAACTTCTTCGACGGTCTTCAGGTCGTCTTCGGCACGATGCTCGTCTGGAGCGAGGTAAATATAAACATCATCAATTTCATCAATTTATTTCAATTAAATTATAGCAAAATTACGATGAATGCATAATTAAAACCGATAATTTTTCCATTTTATTGTACAATCAAAGTATAAACAAAAAAAATCATGCATTCATTGCATTATTCAATTATTTTATTTCAACAAACAAATGAAAAACGCATTAACAAATGAAAAATTCGATTTAGTTTTATATTTCACCACCAATTTCATCAATTGTTTTCACCATTTTTATGCATTACCCGGCGCATCCACTCCGTTTAATTTTACTTAATTTAAACTATTTGTAATAAATCTATCAATTTTATTTTCATTTGCATCAAATAAAAGCAAAGTTTTCAATGATTTCAATTGCAGTTGATTACTCCACACGCGATAAGAGTACAAACGCCTCCAAGACACATACCAAGAATAGTGGAAGTCAAAACAACAACTTTTTCTTTTCATTTTCTTTACATGCGTTTACGTTTCCTTTAATTACTCGATAAACTCTTAAACGAAATACATCACCAAATATGTAAATTAAAGATAAAAGTGTAGCCTTTCCAATGAGCCTACTACTAGATTTGTGATACTTTCAGTTCTCTCCTAATAAGCTGTCAAAATTTTTGAGTAACGATGAAATTTTAATTATAACATAATTATTAGATTTTCATTACTATAAGCATCTAATAAGTTAAATCAATTGCATATATTTCAAAAACAACAATGAACGCATCCACCGTTATTTAATCAATTTATTTCAATTAAATTAAAGCAAAAGTTCGATGAATTCATAATTTAAAACCGATAATTTTTCCATTTTATTACACACAAATTATGAACAAAAAAAAAAATCATACATTCATTGCATTATTCAATTATTTTATTGCAACAAACAAATGAAAATCGCATTAAAAATTCGATTTAGTTTTATATTTCACCACCAATTTCATCAATTAACAATTGTTTTTTATGCATTGCCCGGCGCATCCACCGCTTTTAATATTACTTAATCTAAACTATTTGTAATAAATCTATCAATTTTATTTTCATTTGCATCAAATAAAGGCAAAGTTTTCAATTATTTCAATTGCAGTTGATTACTCCACACGCCAGGAATAGTGGAAGTCAAAACAACAACTTTTTGTTTTCATTTTCTTTACATGCGTTTACGTTTCGTTTAATTACTCGATAATCTCTTAAACCAAATACATCACCAAACATGTAAATTAAAGATAAAAGTGTAGCCTTTCCAATGAGCCTACTACGAGATTTGTGCTACTTTCAGTTCTCTTCTAATAAGCTGTCAAAAATTTTGAGTAACGATGAAATTTTAATTATAACATACTTATTAGATTTTCATTACTATAAGCATCTAATAAGTTAAATCAATTGCGTATATTTCAAAAACAACAATGAACGCATCCACCGTTGTTTAATCAATTTATTTCAATTGAATTAAAGCAAAATTTCGATTAATTCATAATTAAAAACCGATAATTTTTCCATTTTATTACACAATGAAATTATAAACAAAAAAAAAATCATTCATTCATTGCATTATTCAATTATTTTATTTCAACAAACAAATGAAAATTGCATTAAAAATTCGATTTAGTTTTATATTTCACCACCAATTTCATCAATTGTTTTCACAATTTTTATGCATTACCCGGCGCATCCACTCCGTTTAATTTTACTTAATCTAACTTATTTGTAATAAATCTATCAATTTTATTTTCATTTGCATCAAATAAAGGCAAAGTTTTCAATGATTTCAATTGCAGTTGATTACTCCACACGCGATAAGAGTACAAACGCCTCCAAGACACATACCAGGAGTAGTGGAAGTCACCTTGTCGTACAAATCAAAGCAGTTCTGCAAAGGAGCGCCCGGCAGATTCGTCTACGTCTGTGAGTAGTCTCAACTTAAAAAACTAACCAATTTGGTGAAGAGAAGAAACAAAACTAACTTTCGCACATTACGCTCAGCAGCTCTCAACGAACCGACGATAGATTACGGCTTCCAGAGGCTCCAGAAGCTGATACCGAGGCATCCAGGTGATCCAGAAAAACTACCGAAGGTAAGCGCAATAGTTCTTCGCTTAAAAAAAAAACGAACAAACTGTAACTTTTCTTTTGTTGATAAATAATAGGAGATTATATTGAAAAGAGCCGCCGATTTGGCTGAAGCTCTATACACGATGCCGAGGAACAATCAGCTCTCGCTTTCCGGTCCTCGTTCGCCGACGATGAGCAATAACGGCATGACCTCGACCTTCAACACGTACACGGGTCAATTGGCGGTCAGCGTGCAGGACAGCGGAAACGGTCAGTGGACAGAAGGTGCATATCCTTCCATTCTTTCTACACGATAACGAAAACAACGACCGTACAAAATAAAAAAAATAAAAATGAAACCCCGGCGCATCCACCTTAAAACAGTTCATAGATAATTTGATCAAAATTCGTTTGGTTTGGTTTTGGTGGATCTGCGTGGGTGATGAATTTTGCTTTCGACGTCTATTTGCGTTCTATCAATCAATGTGACGTCGAAAGTACGTTTTCATCGGTTGAGTTTGTGTGTACTGACGCCAAAATTGTTACCGGTAGGGTTTTTCTTTTAGAAGAGTACGGGGGCAGCAGGACGCAGAGCAGCAGCGTTTCGCCGCGCGGTGGTGGATACTGCTCGAGCGCCTCCACGCCGCACTCCTCCAACGGCGGCGGTTCGTACGGCGGCGGAAGCGGAAGTGGTGGAGGAGGAGGAGGATCAAGTGGAGGTGGAGGAGGCGGCGGCGGTGGTAACATGAACGGATACGGGGGTTCGACCCCCACGAGCACGGCGCAACTCTCCAACATGCTGCCGGGATCACCGTCCGCCGGCATCTTCAACTCAACACCGAGTAAGTACTTCCTTTCTGCAACAAAAGAGAGGAGAAAACAACATTCTAACACCTTCTAGATTTTCACCTGCATTATAATAAAATTTCCTCTCTATCCACTTTCTGCATTTTAACACTTTATTCGCATCATTAGCTTATACGTATATACACAAACACTACATGACTAATTTTAATTAAGAAATCAAGTTTACCAAAAAAAAAGTTTATCAAAATAATTCCATTAAAATATCATATATTTGATATTAGAAGTTAATTAATATTAATTTCAAAACAACAACTTTTTGTTTTCATTTTTTTTTACATGCGTTTACGTTTTGTTTAATTACTTAATAATCTCTTAAACTAAATACATTATCAAACATGTTAATTAAAGATAAAACTATGGTCTTTCGAATGAGCCTACTACGAGATTTGTGCTACTTTTAGTTCTCTTTTAATAAGCTGTTAAAATTTGATACAGTCTTTGACTAATTATAACATACTTATTAGATTTTCTTTACTATGAGTATCTAATAAGTTTATCAATTGCGTATATTTAAAAACAAAAATGATTACTTAATATGAATTAAGTAATCATTAAGCACTGAGAGATCAAGTCCAATTTTTCAATTTTCTTTACTTGCGTTTACATTTCAGATAATTACTTAATAATCTCTTAAACTAAATACATCATCAAACATGTAAATTAAAGATAAAACTATGGCCTTTCCAATGAGCCTATTACGAGATTTGTGCTATTTTTAGTTCTCTTCTAATAAGCTATCAAAATTTTGAGCAACGATGAAATTTGATATAGTCTCTGACTAATTATAACAAATTTATTAGATTTTCTTTGCTATAAGTATCTAATAAGTTTATCAATTGCGTATATTTCAAAAACAACAATGATTCCTTAATATTAATTAGTAATTGAGACATCAAGTTTAATTTTTCAATTTTTTTTACTAGCGTTTACATTTTATTTAATTACTTAATAATCTCTCAAACTAAATACATTATCAAATATGTTAATTAAAGATAAAACTCTGACCTTTTCAATGAGCCTATTACGAGATTTGTGCTACTTTCACTACTCTTTTAATAAGCTGTTAAAATTTGAGTAACGATGAAATTTGATACAGTCTCTGACTAATTATAACATACTTATTAGATTTTCTTTACTATAAGTATTTAATAAGTTTACCAATTGCGTATATTTCAAAAATAACAATGATACCTAAATATTAGTTAGTAACTGAGACATCAAGTTTAATTTCTCAATTTTTTTTACTAGCGTTTACATTTTATTTAATTACTTAATAATCTCTTAAACTAAATACATCACCAAATATGTAAATTAAAGATAAAACTATGGCCTTTCCAATGAGCCTACTACGAGATTTGTGCTACTTCCAGTTCTCTTCTAATAAGCAGTCAAAATTTTGTGTAACGATGAAATTTGAGACATCAAGTTTAATTTTTCAATTTTCATTACTTGCGTTTACTTTTCATTTGATTACTTAATAATCTCTTAAATTAAATACATCATCAAATATGTTAATTAAAGATAAAACTATGGTCTTTCCAATAAGCCTACTACGAGATTTGTGCCACTTCCAGTTCTCTTCTATTAAGCTGTCAAAATTTTGAGTAACAATGAAATTTTATACAGTCTTTAACTAATTATAACATACTTATTAGATTTTCTTTACTATAAGTATCTAATAAATTTATCAATTGCATATTTATCATATCATATTTAAAAAACAACAATGATTCCTAAATATTAATTAGTAACTGAGACATCAAGTCTAATTTTTCAATTTTTTTTACTAGCGTTTACAATTTGTTTAATTACTTAATAATCTCTTAAACTAAATACATCATCAAATATGTAAATTAAAGATAAAACTATGGCCTTTCCAATGAGCCTACTACGAGATTTGTGCTACTATCACTTCTCTTGTAATAAGCTGTCAAAATTTTGAGTAATGATGAAATTTGACGCAGTCTCATAACTAATTAAAACTTTAATTTGCTCACTTAATTATAAGATTAGTATTAAATTTTCAAGTGATATCAATTAAGTTAATGATGCGACAAGTGCTGTATGATTTTTTTTTTTGACTATTATTTCTTTTTCATTACACGAAAATCTATTATTATTTTTTGTTGTTGTTGTTCTTTATAGTAGCGCAAGACGGGCATTATCATTTCGGCAACGGCTCGGACAAAGAGAAAAGCGCCTTCGCCCCGGTGGTAAGGGGCTGCTCGCCGCCTCCGCCCCATCAACAGCCGCCCCCGCTTGCCCATCACCATCCTCCCGCCCCTGCACTTTTCCAGCACCAACCGATCACCGGTTGGCATCATCTCGCTGTACAATGTTAGTATATATATATATCACACACTTACTTACTTATTTACTTTACTTAAAAAAAAAAAAAACAAAACACACAAATCATATTAATAATACCAACCTCGTATAAACAATATCACCATATACCAAACATCACTAAAACCGCTACCAACTTACACATTCAACCCGCACCGTTTCAACTGCGAAACCCTTCACCCTTCCTGCTTGTTCCGCTAATTGCGTTGCGTTCTCATAAACGTTACGCTTTTAAAACTAAGTAGATCCAACAACCCCTGTAACAAAAAAAAAACAAAAAACACACACTCGTAGACCGCTTTTTGTTTTTTAGCTGCATCTCCCTTTTTTCCACTCGCTTCTTCCTTCCTTCCATCATCCACCGCCGCCTCCTGCAACACATTTTTGTTTCGTTTCATGTTTTTTT